CCACAACAGTGCATTGAAATACATACTGAAATCGTCTTTCAAGCAGCTAAGTTTTACGTTTTTCTTTTCACTAATTCTGGATAATTATCGGACACTGGATACATTATGGACTTCTCCCATCTGTCTTTGAGGAATTAGGATCACATTCCATACTAACTAAGACACCCCGTTAGAATAGATAAGTTTTTTCTTAAAATATACGTTCATTTAGAAATAACATAATTATCTTTATTTATCTTATTTAAACTTATTAACTTTATTTGTATTTATGTAATTTGCTATTTATTCATTTCACAGTATCCATATTTATATTTATTTTATTTAATTAATTTCATATTTCCTCTATTTATATTTTATATTAGTCAGTTACATAGCAATATACCATTATTCCCCATAATTACATTTATTTAATATTTTACTGTTCTTCTGAAATATTTAAACTGTGATTGCCATATCTTTTTTACATTATATTTCCATGTACTTTTAATATTTATTCATTATTCAATTTAATATTTATTCATTACTTAATTTAATATTTAATTCCTATCATTTTATTTTATTATCATTTTTCCTTATGCTTTTACACGTGCTTACATATTTAATTTCATTACATTTATCTTAAAGCAACAATAAGATTTCATTGACTTCCTTCACTTTGCCTCAAAATCGCTGTAGTTATTTTTACCCAAATTTGATTGTTATAACGATCCAACTTCAATACATTTTCCCTATATATTTGATACCTTTTTGCGTATCAATTTTTGACACTTTGAAGGCTAATATCCCAGTAAATTGACATATTTATTTTTGACCGTATTGACATCTTTTTGTTAATTTTGGAGGTGATATCATAAAAATTTATTTTCCATAGGAATAACATTATCAAACTTCTGACATAGCTCATTTTACACAGTCTACAGTTCAAACCTCTATTTCTCTGTTCCTTATCATTATTTCCCAACTTTTCACATACAACTACCTTCTTATATTCATCACTGATGATTCATTAGCCAGATGGCTGTTCATGATTCTAACGTAGTACAATTAGCCACCACATCAATTACCTCTGAGGATACAATTATAGCTCCTGATATTGACTCATCAATTCCGAGATTGCAAAGTTTTGCTGCACATAGCTCATTTATTTATAAGTTCTTGGGTGAAAGACGTGCAAAGCATAAATTGAACAAAGAAGACACTAAAATACTCACTGATTTCATTGACTTTGCACAGAAAATCTTCTTAGAACAAGAACTGCTCATCAACGCCCAACAGACACAACTTGACGTTTTGAACGGACAATCAGATTCGCTTAAAAAGGTCTTGTCTATTATTGAACCTATTTCACAACTACCCACACTTCAACCTGCTACCGATAGACCTTTATATTCTGAAATAGTACAGCGTACTGAAGAAGAAGCTCCCTTCCAATTGGTACAGAGGAAAAAAAAGCGGCCCCAGGTTCAGCATAAACTTACAGATCACGTTCTCTTGGTTAAATCCACAGATCCAACTATAACTCCTTCTGCCCTACAACACCATTTAGCCTCCAAAGTCAATCCTTCCAAGCTTGGTATTCCACTACAGCAGATTCGTACCACCAGAAGCAGAGAATTACTACTGAGGTGTCACACTAGAGAACATCTAAATAAATTAAAAGATTCCCTTCACTCTGAAAAAGTATTGAAAGATCAGATCAGCTACAGAGAACCAAAACCAATTAAGGACTCTATAATTCTATTTGGTGTGCCTGAGGATTTAAATGCACAAGACATCATAGCAGCATTTCAAGCTCATCTCCCCACCGAAATAGAGGGTGCAATAAATCCAAGACCTCCACTACACCGTACTGACTCTAGAAATAACTGGGTAATTAATTTGGATAAGGAATACTCCCAGAAGCTGGGATCAAGCGGACGACTATACCTCGGTTTCAACTCTTGCCCATTCAGAACTTATCACCGTATTTTAAGGTGCTATAACTGCCAGGAATTAGGCCACTCTAGTAAATTCTGTCAGAACGCGGCAATTTGTGTCAATTGTGCAGACACACATAAGCAAGACAGCGGCCACTGTACTGCTACGCCCAACTGCCATAACTGTATCTCTAGTAATAAAAACAAGGGCACTGACTTTGATTGTTGTCATCCAGCTAACTCAAGAACATGTCCGTCGTACAGGGAAGCTCTTCAGCGCGCACTTCAAAAAGCGAACTAATGGCAACTAAATTACCAATTCTGCATCTCACAGACCTGAGCTTTGTTCAATGTAATTTACAAAATTCCAGAGCTGCAACTGCTACAATGATTCAGACACAGTTTCATAAGAATATTCCTATTGCACTTTTACAAGACTGTCATATTAATCGAGATAATACACTAACAGGCTCCACCACACAGAATAAAATTTACAATTCTATTAATATGAAAGCCACAATAGTCTATAATGGTCCACTGACGCCAACATTATGGAAAGCCACTCAACATACTGTCTCAATAGTAATTACCTGTCAAGATGGTGACATCTGTATCACTTCAGCTTACCTTCCTCCTAGTACCGACATAGATCGAATTCTTCCTGAATTGGACTTTTTAAGATTCATTAAATTTTAAAATATTATTATTGGAGGAGATTTCAATGCTTCAAGTAGTCTCTGGGGTTCGCCAATTGAAGACTCACGATCAGCGCAGCTGTTAGACTTTGTGGAATCCAATAGACTAGTAATAATCAACGACACTAATGCACCTCCTACCTTTTAAACCATACGTGCCAAAGGATGGCCAGATGTTACAATAGCATCAGAGAGTATAGCTAGGAAAATTGCCAATTGGACAGTTACGGACTGGATAACATTGAGTGATCATAATGCTATCACCTTCACTCTTAACTGTTCATTGCAATATCAACAAAAAAGAAGATTTAAGACTAATTATGGAGGACAAAATAAGCTTAAACGTCATCTGCTTCCTTCAATTTCTCATCTGATTATTAAACTTGATGAATGCAATAGTGCTATAGAATTAGATGAGGCCTATGATAATTTTATTCAAGAAATTGTTACAGCCTGCCGTAGAACTTTCAAAACCAAGCAAGTCAAAATAAGGAATAACGCGGCTTGGTGGACTCCAGACCTAGCTAAACAGAGAAAGATTCTTCGAAAGCAAAGACGCCAAGCACAAGCAGCAACACTCCCTGAGGTTAGGATGGAACTTTTTAGTCGTTATAAGAGTCACAGGCTATTTATAAAAAACATATAAATTATGCCAAAGAAACATCATGGAAAAATTATTGCACACGCACTGTTGAGCGTTATGGCAATATCTTTCATATTGCAATGGACAAAGTTTTCCGCCCTACTCTCCTACCCTCTGATATCTTAAATACAGCTACAAGTCCAGAGGACACCATCCGATTTCTTCTGACTAATATTTTTCAAAAGGACAACTCTACAGAAGACACCATGAGCCAGGCAGAAATGAGAAGTAATTTTGATAATTACATATATCACAGACCTACAATGGAACCCATGCCTAGTCTTTCTGAAGCGAATAACATCATCCGCTTTCTTAATCCTGCTAAAGCTCCAGGACCTGACGGCGTGGATAACATGATCATTAAAATGATTCATTCAATAGCTCCATCCCTTACTATGGCATTTCTACGAGCCTGCTGGAGAATTCGACACTTTCCAAAATCTAGTAAGTGTGCGGAGGTCGTACTCTTTCATAAAAAGGACAAGGACCCTCTACAGCCAAACTCGTATCGTCCGATTTGCCTTTTACCAGCATATGGCAAACTATTGGAACGAGTCATACTTGGGCGATTAAACTATTATCTACACACCAATAATTTGCTTGATGCAAACCAGTTTGGTTTTAGAGGAGGCCTGTCAACGGAACATGCTATTCATGACCTTATTCATACAGTACAGGAAAATAGAAAGGATGGATGTCACTCCCTGGTTGTTAGCCTGGACATTCAAGGAGCTTTCGACTCCTTATGGTGGCCGGATATATTAAATGTCCTGGCTACCATGGGATGTCCGGCTGACCTTCAAGATCTTATACGAAGCTATTTAAGCAATCGTTCTGTGCAAATCACCACCGATGCAGCCACCATCCAATATGACCTGAATAGAGGATGCCCACAGGGCTCCTGTTTGGGACCCTTACTATGGATACTTGTCGCAAACTCGATTCTAAGGGATCTGAGTGGCCACCGAGACTGTAAAATTATCGCTTACGCAGATGACTTCCTTATTATCACACGAGGGAAATCCAAACTCGAAAGCATTACACAGCACTACCTTGATGTATTTGGAGATTGGGCCAGAGCTCATAAAATCACAGTATCGGCCTCTAAAACTTAAGCTATAATTATTGGAGCCCATAGGCCTGTGCGGAGGAATCCCTCCATTAAAATGCAGGGTTCGGCAATTAAAATAGTTAAAGAATTCAAATATCTAGGCCTTGTCCTAGATCATCGTTTATCTTGGTTACCCCATCTTAAGTATGTTAAATCCCGTACTCTGCAATTAAATAATACCATCAGACGAACTGCCACAGCCTCATGGGGAGTCTCATCTTCTCTCTTAAAACAATGGTATCATACGGTCACTGAAAGAATCGCTTCTGTATGGCTCGGGAATATGGGCGTGTCGGATGACAACCCATGAACGTCGCTTCCTTAATACAATTCAACGACCACACCTTCTACATATCAGTAAAGGCTATAGAACTACATCCACCACTGCTTTGCAAACTCTAACTGGTATTCCACAATAAGACTTAGTTGCTGAAAGAGACTCTACCCTTACATTAATACTCCGCCTTAAACAGGATCATACTCTATGGCACACCTTGTATCAACATCAAAATTTTGAAAGAAAAATCTTTGATATTCCTGTTCATCCAGCGCTTCATGATCTGACAGACTACGTAACCACTTCCTACAAGACTCCTAATGTGACCAGCTTCAATATTTACACGGATGGCTCTAAGATGGACTCGGGTACAGGGTCGGGTCTATGTATCATTCAAGATAACTGTATCATCTCTACATGGCGAAGAAGACTAGGTGTTGACAATTCCATCTTTCAGGCCGAACTCACGGCACTACAGAAAGCGATTTACATAGCGAGTCAGATACGATCGAATGTCTTTATTCATAGTGACTCCATGTCTAGCCTACTAGCCGTGGGTGGTAGGCCGAGTCGTCATCCGATCGTCATCAAATTACAAAAAATGCTCCTTAACCTGATGCCATCAATACGACCAATACTCACTTGGGTGCCGGCACATACTGGAATAAAAGGTAATGCAATAGCCGACTCATTAGCAAAGGAAGCAGCAACGAACACCAATCTACCGGAACAATATCTTCCACTTCCAGGATCTTATGTTAAGCGCACTACAATGTCACAACTACTTTCCAAATGGCAAGACAGGTGGACTATGTCCCCCACAGGACGCCGCACCTTTAAATTTATTCCCAAAGTCAACATTAATACAATTTCCTCGTCTTCTGCAATAACCACCTTTCTAACTGGCCATGGGACATTCCCAGAGTATCTCCACCGGTTTGGACTACGGACCAATGACCTCTGCACATGTGGTCAGAGAGGTACCCCGGATGACTATGTTTTCTCTTGTCAATTCACATCTAATCTGCAATTTCAAAAACCAGTGGACAGATATCTACCGGAATGGACAAAGCACCTATTATGTCATGCTGGAAGCCAGAAGAAGCTTTTCCAGATAATCCAATATTGCAAAGATCATTATGCATAAAGTTAGAGGACTCTTTCTTGCTTCCTGGGGACTATTCTATGAGTATTAAATACTACATTATGACTTTTCGGTATACTATGTTACAAAATTCATTGTTAAAATGTTATTCATTAATATTATGTATATAGTTTTCTTTTTTTATTTATTTATATTTTTTTTTATTATTTAACCTTTTTAAATTTTTGTATTTAATATATACTGTATATCTAGTCATATGTATATATATATATTGCACAATGAACAAACATATCAAACTTTCTAACGTATTCCTTGCTATTGTTTGCAAGATGAATGACACCACTTTAATACGATTCTGTATCCATTCCTTGAACTTGTCAATTCACATCTGCTCTGCATTTTCAAAAACGATTGGAGAGATGTCTACCGGAATGGACAAATCACCTATTATGTCATGCTGGAAGCCGGAAGAAGCTTTTACAGATAATCCCATACTGTAATGATCATTCTGATTAGAGACAGAGGACTCTATCCTGCTTCCGGAGGACTTCCTTATGAATGTTAAATACCACAATATGACTTTTTCGATGAATGACACCACCTTAATACGATTCTGTATTCATTCCTTGAACTTGTCAATTCACATCTGCTCTGCATTTTCAAAAGCGATTGTAGAGATGTCTACCGGAATGGACAAATCACCTATTATGTCATGCTGGAAGCCGGAAGAAGCTTTCACAGATGATCCCATACTGTAATGATCATTCTGCTTAGAGATAGAGGACTCTTTTTTTGCTTCCGGAGGACTTTCTTATGAATGTTAAATACCACAATATAACTTTTTTGGTATACTTTGTTACAAAATTTTAGTTAAAATTGTTCTTTATTTGCATTATGTATATAGTTTTTTTTTTAGTATTTATTTCTTTATTTTATATATTGTATTTTTTGTCATTTCATATATTGTATTTTTTGTCATATGTATATATCTAATTTTGCAAAATGTTCAATCATGTCAAGCTTGTAACGTATTCCTTGCTCCTGTTTGCAAGATAAATGTCATCACCTCACTGTGACTCTGTATTCATTCCTTGACATACTGAATAAATGCTCGCTGGCCTGTTGGCAAGTTCCACTGGCTGTGGCGGCTGCTAGAGGTAGATTTTTTCCACTGAACGGGCATTACACTGCTTGGCTTGCCTTAGGACAGTGGCCTGTTCAGTGCTGCGAATGTCCGTGGTGCTGCAGGCTTCATATCACTGCCCGTAACGTTCTCTCGGGTTTTAATGCTTAAAGCCACTGAGATTTCGCACGGCGTTCAATATGGACCCATTGATCTCATATTCGCCTTACAGTCGTAGTATCCCGACCAACACGGGCAGCTCTGTCGCGGAAGAAGAAATCGTAGTCCAAAGAGTCCACGATCTTGCCGTGGTCGAATTCCATACTCGCATGGAAATTATACATTTTCAGTGGAATGTCTTCCGTTTTATGTACCATCCATACGTCCATAGCTTAGTTGGCAGAGGAGTGGAGTGTAGAGGTGTTGACACAGCTACTAGTAAGGGTTTCTTCTTTTTATAGGGGGCGTAATACAATCATAATCCGAGCAACTGACGCTTAAATACGATTTCTGACTGACTGAAAAACCCGTTGTTCAGTTTTTTCCCCATTTATACGCAATGCAGATGGTATTACTCGTACATGCTTTGCGCGCATGCGCTGGAATACTAATTGTTCTTATATCCAGGATGCAGTACTTGGGGTTCATGCAAATTTGACATTTATTGCATGTCGCCTTCATGATGTTGCAATTTTAATAGGCAGTAGCGTAATGTTATCAGCTGACAAATAAGTACTGTTGCAAATAAATTGAAATCTATCGTACGTACATACGGGTATACATACAGCCTATAACATAGAAATCGACTCATTGAGAAGTTATCCAAATAGGTAGAAATTGCGTATGGCTATACCTTACGACGAAATATGGAAGTGATTAACATTTAGTGTTGAATGATTGACAAGCTATGGAGCTCCAGCGGAGCAGACCAGATGAAATGGATAGCTGTGTCAACACCTCTACACTCCACTGCTCTGCCAACTAAGCTATGGACGGATGGTACATAAAACGGAAGATATTCCACTGATAATGCATAACTTCCATGCGAGTATGGGTCCGTCGATCTAGGTGGACTGTACCAACGTCTCGTAGACGGGTTCGTCAAAAGTATGAGCAGATGTCACTATTTAAGAATAAAGGAATGAGGGTGGCCGCAGGATAGCTAGATATTTGGATCCGAGCGATGCGACCATTCTATGATGTTAACATGAATGGGTGAACCATGGTTGTAGAGAGCGTCAAGAATATAACGGTCGAGCAAAAGCGACGGCAGAACGCAAGGACAAAGTGATCGTCCAAACACGCTCACAACCTCAGCCTCTGATGCTTTAATCCGACGTGTAGCCGGAACATCAGTGCAATGACAAGTGATAATGAGACTCTGGGAACGGGGGCTGAAGTTACAGAAGGCATTGCGCCGGCTACCCATCGTCATTGCACACCGTTAAGCATGTTTGCAGCGGTGCCGGAAGTATTCGACCTGGGATCTAACAGACTGGAATATAATTGCTTTCAGCGATGAGTCCTGCTTCGAAGTGAGTTCCGACGACTAGCGAAGACATGTCTGGAGACGTTCAGAACAGCAATGCATACTCATCTGGATACTGTCAACGAGACAACCAGGAGCTATGGTATGGGATGCCATTTCATTTGACAGCCGGCCTTGTTTGGTGTGGCACCCTTATAGCACGGCAGCACTTCGATGAAATTCTAGCCCTTTATTTTTGCCCTTCCTTTCACGGATCTCTGGGCTTACATTTCAGCAGGGTAATGCTAGGACGCATACGGCATGCCTTTCTACTAATTGTTTTCATGCGTCTCCAACATTTTCCTGGCCGACGTGATCGCCAGATCTCTCCCCAACTGAGCACGTTTGGGCTCTGAGGAGCCATGCCCGACCCTCCCTGGTTCGGCGCCGATCTAACTTGCCGGTTTGAAAGTACAGGGTTTTCGGGATAAATTTGACATATTTATAACTTGATTATTTTTTTCCGTAGGTTGGAGGTATTGACACGCACTACTCGTCATTTAGAAGTTTGGACCCTTCTTCATTCATATACAAGATGTCGGAAAGGATGGATGACTGGAGCACACCTGAATCATGGAAGTGAATAACTTGCATCATGATGATTCGTGCCGGCCATCAAAATAAGGATATTATGACTGCTGCCCAATGCTCCCTGAACACAGTAAAAACAATCAGGCATGAACTAGACACTTGCAATGGTGACTACAAGGATGTAACAGGAAGAAAGATCCCTAGCAGACGATCTGATTGCGTTCGTACAGCAGAATTCCTGGTAAATCTGCAGGAACAGGTGTTGAAGAACCCTGGCACTGGAATTCGGGCTTTGTCACGTGAAATGAATGTTGCAGCCTCTACTATGAAGTTTTTTTTTTTTTTTTGTCAATTCATTAAATTTAATAGATACAAAGCGGATTTTCTTTTTCCTTACGAAACTGTTAAATTTATCCCGAACACCCTGTATATGGCAAGGAATCCTCCAGGAACACATCTACCAACTCTACGAGTCAATGCCTAACCTGATTAGAGCTTGCATTAGGGCTAAAGGTGGGCCATTGCATTATTTATTTTGCTTTTGTAGCTGTATTTCCTAAATAAAAAATTAAATTCCTATCATACTAGTTTCGTTTTCAATCCATCTATAGATTTTCGTCTCATTCAGATAACTCCTTTTTGGTGTGTCGTTTTATATGTTACAGAAATGCAACTGAAATTGTAGGTTAAATTAATTGAATATGGCGATGTTTACAAGGGGTATCTGCTTAAGAGGAACGATGCTTTCATGGAGGACTTATTAAGATAAACTGGCTCATATTTACGTTACGCATGGGGAAACCACGAAAACCAATAATGGCCTTTATTTGTGTGTCTTTCTAATAAAATCTTACATAGACTGCTATATATCTTATAGCTAGAATAGAGCATTTTCACAGGCTAATTTCATAAATGTTATCAAAATAATGTTAGAATTAATAAAGATTATTTACAATATTTTTCTTATTCGCTATAACACTTCAGTTTTGCATTGATAGGACAATCAAATTAATCTCTTTTGTACTTCTTGATAAAGCTGCGTATAAATCTGAAAGTAAGGCATTAAATTGTTTTAAATTTTACATACTGTGCATGTAAGTAATTTTAGAAAATTTATATAATTTCATCTTTAAATCTATGGAAGATTTAAGTATGCTTTCAATTGAACTTCTGCTATGGTTTTGGTGCTAAGAAGCATCTTGTTCTTGGCAGATAGCACTTGAAATGCATATGCTTATGATTAATAAAACATTAAACCACATGGTCAAAATTCAGTGTAAATTTTCTCTTCCTTTTGTAGAATGTTTTTCATTACTGACATGTAAAGTTGAAAGCCTTGTGAACTTTCTTCTTCTTGTTGCTTTATTTATACAAAATAATCTATACTGTACAATTGTTCTATGTATAACGTATTTTATTTTAGAATTTCATTCCCTTCTCTATATAACATTGTAATTTGTAATTTACTACTCTTGGTATTCTGAAGAATTATTTACAAGAAATTACACTTGGTATTATAAAAATTTCTAAATCTATTAATCTCAATGTTTTTGAAAGAGATTTTTCCCCTCCCTGAATTTTCCATTTACGGTAAAAAATTTTTAAATGCGAGTTTAATGCAAGACATACAAAAGTGTCATCAATTATGATAAAGCAGAGTTTATTTTACTCAGTGTAAATGAGAGCACATGTCTTATAACTCACAGGTAATCAGTGGCTGAGTGGTAAAAAATCACTGAATACGGGCAGTTCCTATTCGATTTCAGAAGAATTGGGTTGGCTGCATGGGTGTTTTCATGGTTTTCCCTACCTGTACCATGTATATGAGCTAGTTTCCCGAGAAAGTCCTCCACGAAGGCA